AAGAAGCTATGGTGAAACCTGGGGCACCACCGGCAGCCCTGCTGCCAGGTTTGCTTTTACTTCGACTTCTGTGCCCGGCCACGGTCGGAGACTTTGGTTTCCTGTGAAGGGCAGTGATCCAAAAGAGGCGCCATGATGAACGATGGTGCTCATGAACTCGAGCTTTTTCGTGAGTGGAACGTGCGTGCAGGCGGGCGCGCGCATGCGTGCCTGCGTGTGTGTGCGATTGTGCCTGCGCGTGCGTGGGTGACCTGTTTGTGTGCTGTGTTTGTTTGGTTGTTTGCTTGTTCGTTTGCTTGTGCGTTTGTTTGTTTGTTGGTTGGTTTGGTTGTGTGTTTGTTTGTTTGCTTGCTTGTTTTCATTTGTTTGTTTTGTTTTGCTCGTTTGTTCGCTTGTTTCCCTCCACAATGAAACCACGCGTTTCATTGAGAAATATGTCGGTACATTGCGAGCAAGTGACTTTGCGCTTGCCGCTCCAAGCTCAAACACTGGCCATGCGGTGCAATTGATGACTTGGAGTAGGCGTTGGCTTTCACCAGCCCACTTGCGACTCCCATTCACCCAGACCCTTTAATAAGAGCTGCACCAGGGGACCGCAGGTTTTAGCCCATGTTTCCATTACCGGGGTTCCATGTTGGGTACCTATTTTTGACCCCCCCAGCCTGTGCGCCACATTAGATGTGTCGGCCTATGGCTTCGCAGAGCCATGGCGAGGGACCAGATGGCCGATCGCCTGGAAGCGCTTCTCGGGAAGGTTGACTTCAAACACCTGGAAAGCGTGAAGCCCACCAGAGTGCAGCTGCCAGCCATAAGTTCAGAACGGCGTGGATTAGTCAGCATGGGTTGTCAGAGGGTTCTCACTATAGTTGGCGAGCCCCGTCAAGCAAACAACCAAACAACCAACCAACTGCTTAGCCCAAGGCTATGCCACGCTGTTCAAACTTATTTCATGCCGACTTCGCCGTCTCACTGTTTTCTTGCGATAAAACGTTGCCAGGTTGGAGGTGAAGTTGATAGAGAAGGCCCGCATCCCCAGTTTGAAAGTTGAGAGCAAGCCTCACCCTGTGCCAGAATCTTCGACGATTACAGTGGAACAGATATCAGGTGTCAGCACCAAGGTGGCCATTCCGGCGCCCCATACTGTGGCAACCTTGAAGCAAGTGCTGGAGAGCACACTGCAGATACCTGCCTTCCTGCAGATCATAGTCGCCGGCTCGCAGGAGTTGATGGATTCAGATGCGATTTCCGCAGAGGCCGTGACACTGCTGCGAAGAGAACCACCCATGATAAGCACGGAGGCTTTTCTGGAAAGTATGGTCTACGGCATGTGCCGGTGACTAAGCTGCATACTAAAGCTTGATCAGTTGGTTGTATGCGGGCTGCTCGTTTCTGACATCTTGTCCCCGACTGACACGGCCAAGGTGGAAGTTGAACTCCATTTTTGCAAGATGGTATCAATTGGACATGGACGAGCCCATTCCACAGGTCCTTGTGCCTGCAAATGAGCTTCTGAGATGGACCATGCAGTTCTGCGACTCTCATTGAAATGGGTGCGTCCTGCCCGTGGAAGCTCAAGTTGGCGTTGGGGCATTGCCAGGACTACAATTCAATAGCAAGCGTTGCTCAAAAACAATCCTGAATCCTTCTGAATCCCATTTCCCTGACATGTTTTGGCCATGCTCTCAATATGATGTTTGTGGGATTTGCGTAGCCGACAGCTGCAAAAAGACCCCAATTGGAGGGGATACATATGCAGTAAACAGATGGTAGCGGGTTCCCTTGTGGTGGTGCTCCGCAGATTGCAGGAGTAGGGACCCCCCCCTACTTTGAACAGCTCAGGACATGACGCACACTGCCTTCACCGTGGAACGCTTCTTGGACTCAGTGGACTGCTGGCTGGCGGCATCCTCAGTCACTCATCCTGAGGACTTGGCGGATGGGGGGGACTTTTGTCATGGCCTCCTTAGACCTTGGGTCAAGTTGTCAAGCCTCGCAGACTTTGGACCACAGTTCTTTTGGAAAAAGAAGAGAGGGCCGTGGTGCGCAATGTGTGCCTGTGCGTTTGCGTTTGCGTCTGCGTTTGCGGCACGGGCACGGGCGCGGGCGTGGGCGTGGGCGTGTTTGTGTTTGTGTCTGTGTCTGTGTCTGTGTCGGTGTCTGTGTCGGTGTCTGTGTTGTCTGTGTTGTCTGTGTTGTCTGTGTCTGTGTCTGCGTCTGGGTCTGGGTCTGTGTCTGTGTCTGTGTCTGTGTCTGTGTCTGTGTCTGTGTCTGTGTCTGTGTCTGTGTGTTTGTGTTTGTGTTTGTGTCTGCGTGTGTGTGTGTGGTTGTGTGTGTGTCTGTGTGTGTGTGTCTGTGTGTGTGTGTCTGTGTGTGTGTGTGTGTCTGTGACTGTGTGTGTCTGTGTGTGTGTGTGTCTGTGTTTGTGTGTGTGTGTGTGTGTCTGTGTGTGTATGTCTGTGTGTGTCTGTCTGTGTGTGTCTCTCTGTGTGTCTCTGTGTGTGTGTATGTCTGTGTGTGTCTCTGTGTGTCTTTGTGTGTCTCTCTGTGTCTCTCTGTGTCTCTCGGTGTCTCTCGGTGTCTCTCTGTGTCTCTGTGTGTCTCTCTGTGTCTCTCTGTGTCTCTCTGTGTCTCTCTGTGTCTCTCTGTGTCTCTCTGTGTCTCTCTGTGTGTCTCTGTGTCTCTCTGTGTCTCTCTGTGTCTCTCTGTGTCTCTGTGTGTCTCTCTGTGTCTCTGTGTGTCTCTCTGTGTGTCTCTGTGTCTCTCTGTGTCTCTCTGTGTCTCTGTGTGTCTCTCTGTGTCTCTGTGTGTCTCTGTGTGTCTCTTTGTGTCTCTCGGTGTCTCTCGGTGTCTCTGTGTGTCTCTGTGTGTCTCTGTGTGTCTCTCTGTGTCTCTCTGTGTCTCTCTGTGTCTCTCTGTGTCTCTCTGTGTCTCTCTGTGTCTCTCTGTTTCTCTCTGTGTCTCCTGTGTCTCTCTGTGTCTCTCTGTGTCTCTCTGTGTCTCTCTGTGTCTCTCTGTGTCTCCTGTGTCTCTCTGTGTCTCTCTGTGTCTCTCTGTGTCTCTCTGTGTCTCTCTGTGTCTCTCTGTGTCTCTCTGTGTCTCTCTGTGTCTCTCTGTGTCTCTCTGTGTCTCTCTGTGTCTCTCTGTGTCTCTCTGTGTCTCTCTGTGTCTCTCTGTGTCTCTCTGTGTCTCTCTGTGTCTCTCTGTGTCTCTCTGTGTCTCTCTGTGTCTCTCTGTGTCTCTCTGTGTCTCTCTGTGTCTCTCTGTGTCTCTCTGTCTCTCTGTGTCTCTCTGTGTCTCTCTGTGTCTCTCTGTGTCTCTCTGTGTCTCTCTGTGTCTCTCTGTGTCTCTCTGTGTCTCTCTGTGTCTCTCTGTGTCTCTCTGTGTCTCTCTGTGTCTCTCTGTGTCTCTCTGTGTCTCTCTGTGTCTCTCTGTGTCTCTCTGTGTCTCTCTGTGTCTCTCTGTGTCTCTCTGTGTCTCTCTGTGTCTCTCTGTGTCTCTCTGTGTCTCTCTGTGTCTCTCTGTGTCTCTCTGTGTCTCTCTGTGTCTCTCTGTGTCTCTCTGTGTCTCTCTGTGTCTCTCTGTGTCTCTCTGTGTCTCTCTGTGTCTCTCTGTGTCTCTCTGTGTCTCTCTGTGTCTCTGTGTGTCTCTCTGTGTCTCTCTGTGTCTCTCTGTGTCTCTCGGTGTCTCTCTGTGTCTCTCTGTGTCTGTGTGTGTGTGTCTGTGTCTGTGTGTTTTCGTTGTTTGTTTGGGGATTGTGTTGTTTGCGTTTGTTGGCTTTTGTTCTTGGACAATTGCCGGTAGCTTCGGCTTTTCCAACCCTTACACATATCGCATGTTGGTCTTCCAAGATGCCTCAGGAGGCAAAAACAAGCACAGAACACAAAGCATATTTGCCGCATTGGTGTGCAAGGTTCAAGCCATCGATTCAGTGGTTGCAAAGAGGGAAGGCGCCAAGAAACCAAACCATCGCCCAATCCAGCAAGGAAAGGCCGACCCTAAGCATCCAGAAGAGTGATGCGCAGTAAGGTTGGCTCTCACAGGTCCCAAGAAGTCAGGACTTTTTGGCCGCGATCAGCGAGCTGCAGACGGCTTTGGAGGAGCACTGCTTCAGCCCCTCCTTGCTGCGGCCCCACGACACCCCACAGGCGCGCGAGGACCCTCGCCCACCCAGCAAACCTTTGCTTGGCAAGCAGCTGCCAGGCAGATCGTTTGTTGTGACGTCGCCCCAGTGTGGGTCCGCAGTAGACATATAGAATCATACATATTGCCTCATGTGCGGCTGGTCGTGAATCCTTTCTGGACCCACAGGGAGGGAAACTCTTGGTCCAAAACTGCGTGTTCACGCATTTTGATCACAGTTTTGCCTGTGCAATGTGGCAACCGTCATGGATTGCAGCAGCTTTGATCTTGACAACCCATATGTCGGACACTCACCTAGTTAGGTTGTTTTTTTTCCCGACATTATGTTTCGTCAATGAATCTCAGCAGTTTAGGTACGAGAACTTGATCCATCGCACAGTAATTGCATCGGGTAGGATTCCCTTTGTAGCTGGCAATCCAAATGTCACAGGCTACGAAGGACAACGTGGGATTTATTTTTGCCAAGTTGCAACAATTTGCTGATGACATGCTACAGCCCCAGTCATACATGCTCACTTTGCAGGGTTTATCGACTGTCCAAAGCCGGTTTTCGACATGTAGGTTGCATGACCTCCCTCTCCGCAGGTTATTGGCGACCACGAGGAGTTTATGATTTTTGTGGTGGGTCGGCTGAGGGCTGCGCCGGAGACACTTTGGGTGAGCAGCTATTTGTTCACCTGCCGTGCTATCCATGGCTGAGATCTGGAGAAAAGGTGAGCTGAACTGGTTGACGCAACAACCCCTTGCTGCCTTGGTCTCCTGCGTTCCCTTTGCAGAAACCCCACTTGCCGGTTGGCAGAAGCTCTCTTCAGTCACTAAAGCCACGCTCATTCATGTTGGCGGTAGAGGGACATTCCGAGGCGACCAAGGACCCGCCGGATCCCAACTTGGTCAAAGCACTTGCCTCAAGCACGGAGCGCAAGGGCGACAGATGTTGTGCCAGTGCCCCTTCGGGGCAGCACTTGCTGCATGGCTTTCGGTTCCCGCAAGGGCGGGGAGATTGATTTGGAGTTCTCTCGAACACGCCTGATTCGCGCTTAGCGTCCCGCAATAGAAACTCTTTAATCAAGTTTGCTGCAAGATTGGGTAGGGCATTCAAGGCTTGAATTGCTGGATGGATGGCTTTGCAAGGAAACGCTTTATTTGAGAAGGTCTGGATTGGCTTGTTGGAGTTGGAGCCGTACCACTGGCCTGAGATGATCAGTTTACAAGGTGGACAGATGATACAGATGCATCTCCAAGTGTACGACTAGTGTATATCCAGCTGGGCTGTTCTTCATCCAGATCTGCTACTTCGTCAAAGATCATGCAAAGTATCAAGCACTCCAGTGCATTCCATTCCTGCCAGCATAAGCCGGAACCACCGCTGCCCTGTAAGAAGCAGAGCAGGTAATGAATATGAAACCATGATGGTCGGTCAGCCTTGACCCAAAGCCGTGCATGATTGACCGCCCCACCAACTTGTGGGGGTGGGGGAGGGGGATATGTAACCTGCCACAGCTGAACTGGATGATCCAGGATGCTGGCCTTGTCGGTTGCTTGACCAGCCCGTCATAGCAACCTGTTCGCGCTGTTTGGAGGAAGCAAGTGATCAGGTGTGCGCCAAACTGCAAACAAGCACGCACTCTGTCAGCAGACCCGACATGCCCCTCAAACTAAAGTAAGTGTTTGTCAACAACGCAATTGTCATATTGATCCATGAATGTAAAGCCGATGTGATAGCTCGGCCAACTAAGTACATCACACTTTCAGCGTGCATCATGCTGGACAACATGGACAGCATCGTCAACTTGCATGTATAACGACGCCCCTGCCACCATAGTACGGCTGGATCTGTGTGTTTGCCTTTTTGAGCCTTTGAGACGGAAAAACCACTTGGATCTATATGCGTTTAGTTTGTTCAAACATAGAAAGACTGCAAAGATCAAGGATGCCCCACGATGGTCTACCCTGGCTTGTCCTTTGCACAGCTCAGGCAAGCGGCCAGGCCTTTGTCAACGCCCTGTACCCCATGGGACGCTATTGGGGGGGGCAAGCATGAATGCCTGATTGAGTGTCAGCTTCATATGGGCTCGACATAAAGGGCACGCCGCTCTCGAGAGTGCGTTCTGGTTGAAGCCATTATTGCTGCCAGTCGATCTCCCTGGTGTGAAAGGTTGCAGCTCATCCCACTGCAGTCTGTATTATGCAAAAATGAACCGCCACCACAAGGAACATGCTGCTGTCCTGGTCATTCGGAGATTTGTTTTTTCAGACACGGAGTGTGTGTGTGTGTGTGTGTGTGTGTGCAAGCGAAGCGTTGCCGCATGTGTTTGGCATATGGTCCCACCAGCAGGCCGACATGGGTCGTAGAGAGAGTCAGCGTTCGCCGGGCCCGTCACCGCATGCTTCAGCCCTGCCATTTCGGTAGCTGTGACCGTGTTTCCTGGACATGGGAGCTGCGTGCAGCTGCTTTCCGAGGCTTGTGCCGCTGTCTGCCAGGCAGCAAGACGAAAGGCCGGTTCGGTTGACAAGTCAGTTTCCAGACAGTTGGCCTGTTTGTGCTCAGTCAGGTCCTTTCGGGTGGAAGCATATTGCTTTCAGCGCCATGCTATCGGCCCCTGAGAAATTTGAACGCCATTTCTTGCCGCATTCAACGATTGCTCAACTACAAGCGTATCCGAACCTCAATCAGCAATCCACAGTCTGGTGATTTGTTAGTACATGCCTATCCTGTGCACTTGTTTATGAGATTTGTGATGTCCATGACATCCTCAGGAAGGAGCCTCACTTATATGACGCATGCTTTGGCTCGTTGAGTTATGTTCAGCCCATGGCTTTTCACCTTTGACCGGTTTGTTCAAACTTCGCTCGCGCTGAGCAGGCGCCGGCGCCGGCGCGAGTCGCAAGCCCAGCGCCGTAGCGCAGGCTGTCTTGCGGCGTGGCTTTTTCGAGTGTGTGCAGCCGAAATAGGGAAAGGATACACATGTGGCCCGGGATCTCCGTTGAACTGTTTGTTTACATTGTAAGGTTTGCCAGGTAAGTATGGGCCAGAATCCACATTGTTGGTTCGGGGGCAAAAGCTATGGCAGCTGAGTTAGTGGAGCTTGGTGTAGTTGGTCTTGGTTTCATGGGGCTGAGCGGGTCCCTTGCAGCTTGCGCTGGAGGCTTTTTGCTTGTTCCTTGCAATTATGACTTTGAGCCAGGGGGCAGGCACGAGGCCTCCTTTCCAATGGAGTTGTGCTTGCTGTCGTACCACATGCTTGCAGTTGTGTGCGCGGGTGGTCATGGCCTGGCCAGAGGATGCTGAATGGCAAACCCTCAAAATTCAGGGAGCGTGGCCGGAGCGAGTCCATTTGGGACGTGGTTCCTGCGTTGCTGATTTGTTTGGCGCCTTGTTCGGCTTTGGGAATCCGCCGCTGACTTGTTCAATTGCTGCTGGCAGTGGGTCAAAGGTGAGTCAGAAGCCTTGTCAGCATTGTATCCGGAGCCTTAAAAACTTGTTGCTACACATGCAAGGTAACATCTCCATACTTTCTGAGCCCACGTTCAAGACGCGCTGCTTGCCAGAGCAACGGTGGGTTAGCCTTGCGACTGGAAAATTGGCTCAACACCCCGCGAAGCATGCTAAAGATAGTCTTGGTGGTTCTCAGCTGGGAATGAGGGAATGACCCCTATGAACCATCCCAAATAGTTTCCTTTAAGGGAACACCTTGGGTCATTCCCTGCTGAGCACCAGCAAGTAGTTTGAGCCGTCGGAGAGCACGTCCGATGTTTGTGATGTTGGATGCTTGGGTTTGGCGGGGCTCTTGGGACAGGCGCCGGCCCCGGCCCCGCCGCCCCCACAGACGGTGAGGCATGAGAGCAGAGTGAAGTCGAGCGGCATTGGACTTGCGAGCAGCACAAGTCTCTGTTTATTTGTAGTGACCCCTGAGGACTACCCCGTCCGCGTTGCTAGCCGTTTGCTCAGCAAAATATGCACGGGGGAAGCTTGCTTTCAGGCTATTTTGGACCTCTTGCAACAGAACTCCGCCCTTTCCCCAGCAACGAGTCGTGCAGCACTACAATGTCCTCTCCTTGAGCCTTGAGCCGAACAAATGTGCAACGCGTAGTTGTTGATGTGAGAATTGCATTTAGTCCAGTGCAAAACTGGATTTGCAAATGCACTGAGACGCCCAGGATCATTTATATACAGTTTACATGCTCAAGAGAAAGTTGCATGTAGACTTGTGTGATCTTGCACTTCTGAGTTTGGGCCCATCTATGACAAGGGAGGGCTGCTCTTTCCTGCTTGCTGTTTGGTGGGGGCTCTAGCGGAACCGCCTGACCAACAGTCTAGCGTGCTCACCAAGCAGAAGCCCACAAACTTCAGGAGAACGAATGCTGGACAAAACCGACAACCAGGCTTGCTGTGCATTCTTGTCAGCAAATCCCGGCTAGTGCAGCGCTTTGAGTGCAGACTTTTTCTGACATCAGTACTTTCGAAGGGAGAATGGGGCGACAAAAAAAAAAAAAACGGAAGGCCATGTTGAGATAGGTTGCCTTTTTGTGTTTGTTTGTTGCTTGGCATTTAATGTGTTCTCTGCCTCGCAGGCCAGAGAGCCGAGGCCCGGCCAGGACAGCGCCAGAACCACGGCCCCACCCCCTCAAGGTCGATTTTGGGGGACGTTTGAGGCTCCCTCCGACTAATCTGGACGTGGTCCTTTCCTGTGTGGACCCTGTTTGGCCACTGCAACAGGAAAGTAAAAGGAAATTGCGGTTGCTTATTTTCCAAAACTGAAAAAAAACAACTCAAATCATGAGAGGGGTGGCGAGGGGGGGGGTGTAGCCTTGAAGGGGGGTACCCTGAATTTGCTTTTTCCTCCTAGACTATGAAAGCGGAGAGCATTGGCAAATGTATTGGCAGCTTTGATAAAATAACATTTAGTTGTTTGTTGTATTTTTTCAAGATTTTGGACCGGACAGGAGCGTCTTTGGTCAGAGAGGGTTCTGGGAGGTGCCCAAACAAATTAAGAGGGGTGTTTTGGCCAAACCTTGTGGACGCCTTTAAGGTAATTAAGTAGTATTGGCTGGCAGTCGGCTGGGAAAACCGGGCGTTTATGACAAGGTTTCAGCAACCAACAGAATATCAGGTACCTGTCCTATGGTTCTTCAACGTTCTTCAAGGTGTCCATAAGTCGGATTCGGGTGAGTAATCTTGAGTGGGTTTGTTCGCGCATAGCCTGCCGAGGACCGACAAGCTTCAGCAAGCTTCGGAAGACAAGCATTGAAATTTAGCAGGACAAGGGTGAAGCAGACATAGTGTGGAGGGGAAACAAACATATACATCACGTGCAATGCACGACAGGGAAGCACAACCTTTATCATTCGATTCATCAGCTTCTGATCAGTTGTCGGATCTGAATGTTTGTTGGCAAGCGAGGAAGACTATCACACAAGGCGGCACGCTGAACACTGAACAAGGACTTCCAAGCGGCAGACGCACACTGTCACAATATGTTCTCGGAGCAGGCCCACATATTGTCACACCATTTTTTGTGTTAGACCACTTGTTTTAGCATTTTTACGTTGATGCGTGCCCTGTCATATGCCTGAGCCTTCGGGCGCTTTGAGTGTGCAAAGAGTTAGACTCCCAAAAGCAAACATGGAACCTGCAAAGGTCCCCCTAAAAGGAAAATGGTTTTCCAGGAACACCTGTGCATGTTCTGGGAGGGTGACCTGATTATAAGACAGTGCTTCTTTAGGCCTGGTACGGAAGCCGTGATCCGGGGAGATGAAACATTGTTGCGTGGCTCAGTCCTCGGAGCTCCTTCACTGGCCCATGTTCGCTAGACGAGCAAGTGACCAAAGACAAGTGATGCGTTCATTTGAGCACAAAGATTATCCATCATTTACTGCAGTAAACAGGGCGGCACATGGGGGAATGGGGGTTATTCCTTGGGGGCCACTGTGTATTTGTAATGCTCAAGTCCTTCGAGAGCACAAGTGCAGATGGGCGCCCGTCCACGACTTCAGGCGCAGATGGGCGGCCTCCTCATGTGGAGCAGCCAGGCTTGGCCATTTGATCATAGGAAAACAAACCACACTGCCACCTGCCTCCGCTGAATGGCTCGCAGCTCTTGCCTTTGCCCTAAGCAACCCAAACTGCCAATCAAAGAAAACAAGGTGCAACAAATGAATGGAGTTGCACTGCAAGAGCGCACAAGCGGAAATACTTCGTCATCCCGTTACTTCGCCACTTGGAGTCCTGCCCAGGTCCTGCAAGCCTGCCGCTGGCCAGTTGGACCCCCAGCTCTCGAGGGTGTTGGGCTTTTTTGCAAGGGTAGCCAAGGGAAACCAATCTGGGAGTCCCATCGAGGTGTGTCTATAGGGAACCCCTTTGAAGGGATCTTTGAAAGGAAGCCCCATGCCAACCAGCCGGCGAACCGATGCGAACCGGTATTCAGGCTCCCCTGCCCGGGCTGTCGCAGAGCTCCAGCCAGGCGCGCGTCTCTCATGTTCTTGCTGTGGGGAACATACACCAGACGGCACATGTGTCATTCCAAATGCTGGCTTTGTTTTTGAAGGAAATACGATGACATACGCAAGGAATGCAAGTTTACATGTTCAGTATTCATCTATGAGACATGCATATGTTTTTTTGAAGTGTGTGTGTGTGTGTCAAAGCTTGGGTCTGCCTTTTTGGGTTGGCTGTTTGTTTTTTTTCAGACTGGAAACCAGGTGGCCCAAAGGTGTGTTTGACCATGTTGCAGACAAGCAAGTTCTTTGAGCAAGTTCCTCGGCGCAAGTTTTCACTACAGGTTTCGCTGAGCCAGCATCTCCATGCGAGTTTTTTGAGCGAGCTTCTCTGAGCAAGTTCCCCGACTTGTTTGAGCAGAACCCAGCGAAACAGCGCTTTGCGATTTTGTGTGCAGTTTGCTGCCAAGAGGAGCAAGCAGCCAAAGGAGCTTTTATCCTTCGTGGTGCTTGTCTCTCAAAGAATGGGCCAACCAACACTGCTTCTAGGCTCCCTAAGCCTTCTCTGCAAGGGCGGGCTTGTGTTTAAGCCACGAGGCAAACTGTGGAGTACACTTCTTTAAAAGAACGTTCTCATTGACTAGCATTGTTGAACCCGACCTTCCCACCCACACGGAGGGTTCCACGGGCACCGCACAAAACTGCCCATTCCACAAGCTGTTGAAGGCTGACCTGCACAGACGGTCGATGCCGCCTGGCGTTTGAAGGTCCACTCGCCCCGCCTTGAAAAGCTTCGACATGATGGTCCAGAAAATGATTTATAAATACAAGTGTTTGAAGCAAGTTCTCTGATCAAGTTGTTTTAGCATTCATCTATAAACACATTTCTCTATGCAAGTTGCTCTGAGCAAGTTTTCTGACTATGTAGGCGAGCACGAGAGATTCCAGCGGAAGAACCCTTCGCGATTCTTTCGGGAATAAGTCCTTAGTCCTTATGCCAGATGGTACTGGTGTCCAGCTTTGTGGTGTGATTGATTAGGGTTCGTCCCCCTTTTGACAGGCATAATGTCCCGTCGTTCGAACGGTTAGCCCGGCCAGGTCAAGGTGCCGCTCACGAGCCAGGAGCGAAGCATGCGAAGCACAGCACGCAGCTGGCAGCATTGAATCAATACTTGAACAGTGCTAAAGCTGGGCGTGGAGGGGAGTTAGAACACATAGTGCGTCTTTATATTGCTAGTGAAGAAAATATATAAGAAAAAATGGCACATGAATCGAATAATATGTGATATATCCAATATGTAGTCCTGTGGCCACATTGCTAACCTGGTCGCTACCTGATTAATCCCGATGGTGTGGTTCTCCGCAACCCGAGCACCCTGCATGCACCCCGCCTCCCCTGCCAGCAGCCCGCGAACCTGCACACTGAACCCCACGGTGAACCCCACACCGTGGCAAGCCCGACAGAAACCACCTAACCAATCCAGGACTAGACCATGAAGCCAAAACAAGCCGACCAACACTGAATTAACCCTGATCGGCCTGATCGGACCAATCAACCCTGAAGCAGCCCAGAACCAAGCTTGAACCCTGAACCAACCCTTGAATGACCCTAAGCTGGCTCAACATCGCTGCGGCCACATTCGGCAAAAAGTTTGATACATTCACGAACCCGTGTAGCAATGTGACGTTTTGCACCTGAGTGGGTTGGCACGTTTGGCCACAACTTTGATTCAGCCAAGCGTCTGGGCAGTAGTGTTTGAGTGCATTCCAACCTGGATGACTCCAATTCAAACACTGGCTTGCCTTCCCTTTAAAGGATGTCCGGAATCCCCTCAAGTCAAACAACTCCTTACATGGGAAACTTGACATTGGAGGGATGTGGTGTGAGTTTCGGCCTGAACCTATGCATGCGATTGCCCCATCACTTTTGGAGACATGAAGGCCATCAAGGCAATGCAAGCCTGAGGCCCTTTTGTGCCTGACATCATTGTCAACCGATTGGCATTTCGGTCCGAAGGGGCAATCTGAGCCTTTTGCCCATTTAGACATTTGCGAGGAAAAGCCATGCAGCGCGGGCGACTTTAAGGACTCACTGTGGTGCAAGCGAAAGGTGCAGTCAGTTGGTAGCGGAGCCGCAGAGCGGCATATTTACAGCTGCAGCGCGGCGAAGCAGGTTTTTGGTGTGGAACTCTGGGACTTCATAGCAACTGATGGCAGCGCCAGATATTGCTTTTGACCACTTCCGCCTGACCGGCATGAGCGTCTATTTGATGATCTGCAGGAAAGGCGGACGGAGTCTGCGAGGTCCGGGGATGTGAGCCTTCGTGCGAGCGAAAGCGGAGGGTCGAGATGGATCTGGGAGTGCACGACTTGCGCAGCTACCCAGTTTTAGCCGGGAAGGCGACTCTTGGGTTTGCGACTTGTGCGGCAACATGGATTTTCGACCAGAGGAGCTGACGCCCCGAGGCAGCATATACGGGGAGAGCGCTCGCGATTCAGACGCAGGCAGCCACCGTAGTTCCGGACGCAGAGCGTCGGATGGGTTGCAGCAGCCACAGCATCTGCGCCCGGGTATGAGACGTCGAGCAGGCGATGGACCCCCTGGTTATCCTTTTGATGAAGGATACGAGCGTGCAGAGCCCGAGGCCCCGACCAATGACCCGTGTGTTGACCCCCACTTCAGATGGTTCTGTTGGGCGCAGGAAACACAGGCGCGGCAAGCGTGGCAGCTACAATCAGGTTAATGCCGATCCAGATGATGTAGCCCCTGGGCAAGCCATAGACGCTATCCCTCAAGCCAGATGTTTCACGAAATCAGGTTTTACTGCAGCAGCTGTTGAAAGGTTTGACCGAGGCCTTGACAAGCAAGTCCACTGAAGGACGCTGAAAAGGATTCATCGACCTCCCGGAAAGGCCCACAGCCTGGCATGAGGTACAGATCAGGTCAACCGCCCCAGCCTCCACCTTGGCGGTAAAACACACATGATGTGCGTGCGTTTAGCAAATGGAAGCGCAAGGTTCAGATTTTGGGAGCGACAAGTTTCTGCATTTTTGCCAAAGAATGAGGCGGCGGCTTTGCTGTATACATCGCTCACCGGAGAGTCTGAAGATGAAATCGAGCACATGGACATGGCCCAGGTTGACAGCAAGGATGGCATCAGATAATATCATGTCTGTTTTGGAGGCGCGCTGCTTCAGAAGACAATTTTCCTGAAGAGAAGATGTTTGGATGAACATTTGCAACGTTACGCCCATGAGACTCTGAAAGCATTTGCAAACAGGAATCAACGTTGCGAAGCTGCACTCCAAAGTGTAGGGGTCAGTGTTGGCAGCATGTACGATTCTGAGGCGAGGGGATCGAGGTTGCTTGATCGTGCTCGGGCTTCAAGAGAGCACCAACGCACCATCCTGGTCGCGTCGCCCCACAGCCTGGATTGCCAGAGCATCAAGGATGCCATGATGCTGATGTTTCCTGATCACCGCGGAGTCCCACAGCTGCATGGGCGGGACACGAACGTCTTGAAAGGCGGTGGCAAAGGCGGCAAGGGTTTCGAGCGTTCTGGAGGTAAGGGCGCTGGGAAATCTAAGGGTTCCACCCCTTCATCAAGCTCCAGTTCAAGCAATGCAGCCCCACGCGAGCGGAGGGTGTGCATCACAAATGAGGCACCCCAGGCGCAGGCCGATGACGAGCCGCTGAGGAGGCCGGGCTGCCGGATACCCCGGAAGGGGAAGAAGATGCTGACGATCAAGAAATGGATCCACAGGATGATTTGGATCAGCTCGCGCATGTGCTTACGGTTAAGCGACTGCAATCCGCAACGCTGGGATGTAAGTCTTCTGGATATCAGAAGACGACCGCAAGCAGGAAGAAGAATTCACACTGCGCAGCTTGTGGCGGTGCAGGACACGGGTACGCGGACCCAGAGTGTCCCATGGCTGGACAAGCAGATAAGAAGGGCAAGGGCAAGGGCGATGATGCTTCGCAGCAAAGCAACGGCAAAGGCAAGTTTGACAAGCGTGGCAACGGCGCGAAAAAGGTGCTGGCGGTCACGAGACATCCTGCTGGAGAAGAAATCAAGGTTGCAGTGGATGATCAAACCAAGGAGCCCATCTCTTATGTGGCCGCTTTGGGACACGACGTTGTTCACAACATACAGGAGGCGCACGTGGCTTCACTTTCCGATTTCAATTGCTATGTCGTTTTGGATACAGCTTGCCAACGGTCTTGTACAAGCAGCACCTGGGTATCCAACCATGCGCAGTGTTTGAGCAAGCGCCGGATGAAGCCGAATGATGGTTGATTCTTCAGATGATTTTCAGTTTGGCAACGATCGACCCAACGAGCTTATCTTCCAGCTGGAGTCGGACAGAAATGCCTGGCCCCTGGAGCGAGTGCTCTGGAGGATTCATCAATTCCTTATTTGGGTAGCCGGATGTGTGATCGACATGCCGAACCACTACCACTGATCAATATCAATGGGCATGTTGGCATCAGCATTTGTGATTATCCCGAGGATTCGCATGATTGCTGGAAAGCAACTTCTGATGAATCAATTTGGAAAACGCCAGACCCGGAAGTTGTGTTTCTTCCGCAGCACAAGCCGGCTGAAGTGTCAATTGCGGACCTGCCCAACGCCCATCCGTCACGCTCCACCAAGCTGGCTCACAGCATGGCGGCGGATTGTGATGTTGGTGCGCAGGGCGGAGATGATGTTGCTTTCAGCAGTGGCCAGCGCAGTGAGGCTGGGTCTACGGCCACGGAGGTGGCTGGCATCTCACGAGCTTCTGCAGGAGGAACACGAGAAGCAGGTACAGATCAGAGGGTACCAAGGCGTCGACCGAATGCGTTCACCAGGAGTTTCAACGCTACGGCAACAAGTACGGCAGGTTCACCTTCGGTGCGGGATCCGGTACCGCTGGTCAGACGAAGCGGCAGGATGGGAAGTGTTTCAACCAGCCTCTTCACAAAGCTCTGCCTCGTTGCCGCTGCCTTCACCGGCATCAATCATACCCTCAGTGACTACCAGCAAGGCAGCAACTTCCATGGCTTCAGCAACGGCCAAGGTCAAGGCGAAGACGAGATCTTCACGGGCCAGTTCGGTGAGTGCCTCAACAGCTGGTTCCAGCCGAGATGGTCAGTGGCGAGCCAATGGAGGACACGGGGAGCCAGGTCAGTGTGGAATACCAATGGGATTGAGGAAGCGGTTGAAAAGCGAATGGAATTCAGTCTACCAGGCCGAGCTAGCAGGACTCCAAGAACGGCATGAACATGGAAGGCGCTGGGAAGGGAAGTTGACACGAGAAGCGCATCACTATAACCTGACCACCACGGAGCCGCTGGGTATCAAGAACGGCACGGACCTGGGCTCCGAGAGGGCATGGCTTTGGTGGACTATCTGATGAAGTAGATGACTCCAATGTGCGTGGCGGCAAGTTACACGTGCACAAACTGGAGCCAGTTCAATGAGAACTTGAATTTTCATCACCGACTTCACAAGCTCGAGCGGAAGCGTGATGAAGAGCAACCACGGCTGCGAAAGCTTTGCAGTTGGATGGACGAGACCGCGGAGAGAGGTGGATTCTACATCTTGGAGAATCCCCAGAAGTCAAGACTATGGGAGGAGGAATGCGTGCAGGAGTTGATCAACAAGCACAACGGCTTCGTCAAGGACATCGACGACGGTGCCTACGGCCAGATCAACCACGAAGGCGATCCAGTTTGTAAGACCTTCAGGTTCGGGACAAACAGCAAGCACGTAGCAAACCTCTTGGACAAGCGCCTCACCGCGGAGGAAAAGAACATGTGTGTCCCCAATTCAGGGACGTGAGACAAGGGAGAGCCAGGTCTACCCGGATGCGCTGATCCATGCAATCTTGCAGGGCATCCAGGCGGGGGCCAAGGAGCGCAATAGAATTCGGTTCAACTCAAAGGTCCACACAGCGCACTACGCAAAGCCGGTGTCAGAGGTCGGTAGATGGGCCCCGATCCTGGCTGACGTGGAGAAGGTTTTGAAGGGCAACAGCTACAATACTGTAGATGTGGGCGAGAGCGATGAGATCTACCAGAAGGTGGTGGAGTTGGTTCCATGGAGTTGGAGACCACCTCCGGGAAGATCATGATCGAGTCTGAGCACGTAGTCAACATTCGGCGCCCCAAGCAGAGATTCAGCGAGCCTGTCAAGTTTGGAGGACGATGGCAAGGACGAACAGCGTGGAGATCCAGCACCAGAGACGGGAACGGACACCTGGCGTCGACAAACCGACCAGCAGGGCAATTGCGCGGCTGCACATCAATCTGGGACATGCCCAACGTCACGAGACGTAACGCTTGCTGGCTTCGAATGGCGCTTTGCGGCAACAGGCGCAACAAGGTATAAAGCACATGGTGTGCGGCTCATGCCAGAGGACAAAGACGCCAGCGAGAGTAAACCCGGCATCTACACACGTGCCGCCACGAAATCTCGCGATCAAGCTGTCGTGCTTCCTTTCGCGTCATCCGGCGCGCAATACCCTTGCCGTCCTCATTGTCCGTCTCGCTGCCAGTATGACTCAGCGCCGCATCATCTTCTGGCTTGTTCTCCTCGTTGTTCACGTAGGCCTTGTAAAAGGACCTGCGTGGGAAAGGAACATCCACCTCCGGCGAACCATCCCACGTGTCGTCCACCAGCGTAATGGCACCACTGCTGTCCAGCACGCGGGTGTCCAGGATGTCGTTGCCAGCTTGCCCGGCTTGTTTCTCGGAACATGGTTGTAGCTGATCTTGCGCTAGTAGTTCTTGAGGCGGTTCGGCTCTTCCGGTTGGTGATTGATCTGGCGGTTCATCTGGTGCTTCCGGAACTTGTTCTAAAACTGTCGTATCAGGCGCTGGTAGTGCGAATTGAGGTCCCATCTCATCCTCGGAGTCTGCCATTGCTCCATCTTCTATTTTTGGTAGTAGTTCTTCAGGTGGTGCAGCCGTAGTTGTAGATTCCCTTCTGGAAGGTGTTCGTGATCTGGCTTTCGACCGTCCTCGTGCTGGTGGTAGAAGAGGAACACGCAGTTCAGGTTGATCAGGATGCATGCCGTACCTGACACGCGGTTGTTGTGCTCGTTGAGGTGGGGCTTGGGGCAGGATGGAAACTTCCACTTGGACGTTCTCTGCGTTGTGGATGTTGATGTTCTGCTGCAAGTCTCCACGTCGAGCTTCTTCTTCACCAAGATCATCCGAGGCCTTTCTCTTAGATGATGCTGGTAGTGCATGAGGAAGTGCGGCAAGCTCTGGTTCACCATGCTCACCCTCAATGACCTCCTCCGCGCGTGCCATCTCATCTTGCGGTGACCCTTCTCCTCGATGATCTTCCCATAGATCTCGTCGAATTGACGCTGCTCCGTCCTTCAAGATGCGGATGGCCTCCTCATCGGGCGTCCAGTCCTCAAAGGAAGTTGCAGATCGCAGTTGTTCTGGAGTCACTCTAGCTGCAGTGGGGCCTGTGTGAATCCAGCACGAGCGACCGTCAGGATCTGGTCCAAGGTCTTTACCTATAAGGAAGCCGCCCTTCTTCTTGGATCCCTTGGCTCGATGTTGCCACCTCCAGGAAGCTATCCTGCTTCTTGGTTCCACCTCCGGTAGTTGACTTCCACGAAGCGCCGTCAACAATGCCCTTCTCATTGATGCACTGGCCTGCATCTCCGCAATCGCCTTGGTCGCTTCGCAGCCCTACAGACTCGCCGACCACCAAACCGTGTGGATCGCTCAGGAGTTCTTCTGGGAGGCGACTACCGACCAAAAGCAGCCATGTACGGTGGTCTTCCACGAAAATGAACCAGGCTGTTCTTGCCGCGCAAGGCCGCGATCACAGCTAAATCCATGTCATCTGCTGTCGCCACCGACTGGTTGTCAACCACTCGCTCCATGCTGTCTCGTAGAACCGCGGCTGGTATCACATTGCAATGTGCTCCTGCTTGATCTGCAAGAGCACGAAAATGACCATGCCAGCCTCCATAGGCCCAATAGCTCCGGATCTCGAGACTGCGCTCTCTTTGCTCCATGGGTGCGTGGCCTCATCGATGACCCCAAAGACATGTAGTTGTCGCCCAAATTCCTCACATGGAACAGATCTGCCTGAAAAACTTCTCGAGATGATGACAAGACGGCCGAATACATCAAAGCAATTCAGAAGGAGGAGGCCCCTTGGTTGCTTGGAATGGTGTGACCCCCGTGGATGACGCGACGGCCGAGGCAATATTCCGTGATCCTGAAAGGCGAAAACGAATACTGAAGAGCCGCTGCGCTTATCGTGATGCAAGCAAAGGAGCAGGCGCTTTACAAGCAAAGGCGCATGTAGTCGCTGTTGGATGTTCTGATCCGGACCTATTTCAGCTCAATCGGGATAGTCCTACTCCCACGAGGTTGAGGGAATATCTGCTTTTGAACGTATACTGCAGTGGCCGGAATGGAATGGCGGGATCTTCGCGCAGCATGTTCAAACTGTGGTCAGGAGACGTACGCGCAGCTTTTGCAGGGCGCACAAGATAGCAATGAGCGAGATGATGATCTCTGCACGGCTCCACCCAGGGACCCCATCATCGAGGAAGCAGGCGCATATCCACATTGTCTGTATAAGATAACAGGCAACGTTTACGGACTTGCCAACAGCCCGCGTTTGTGGACACGGGTGATCATCAAGAGGATGAGCAAGGCGCAGTTCCGACAGCACGGATACGATCGGATGATACATATGGAGGTTAAGCCCGACAAGCGTGAATTGGTGTGTGTCGTATTGGCATACGTAGACTACTTGCTGGCGTGCTACAACGAAGACTTGTATGACATCAAGGAGATCGAAGATATGTTCGATTGGGGCACCATCACGCGACACGACGAGGACAAACCCCATCGTCTTCAAGGGCAAAGAAATATCAACTGTTTGCGAGGATGGCGTTTTCAAGGTTCGACTGGATCAGCCGAAATTCATTTCAGCCTTGGAACCAGGTCGCCTACCTCGAGGCCGGTTATCGGGAGAGACTTCTCTGGCAGAACAGGAGCGACAAGATTCTAAGTCTATGACTGGGAGTTTGCAGTCGCTATCAGGACAGACAAGGCCGGACATCGTGAGTGTGGCATCGCTTTCTTCAAAGGGTCCGAGAACCACAATTGAGGGTTTGAAGAACGTCATTGATACAATGTTGAAGACAAGCGGTCTTTGATCAGCATACGGTCGATTCAGAAGGATGACATTTTCTGGACGCCAACCTTTCTGACGCGGGCGGATGCCTTGAAGATTGACAAGGGTCTGCAACAGCAGATGGCAGAGTGGCGCCAGAAGCCTTTTGTACAGCTCCGTGATGGGTCAAAGAAACAAAGATAAAGGCCTATGCATGCGCGCGCCCCATCACTTTTGGAGACATGAAGGCCATGAAGGCAATGCAAGCCTGAGACCCTTTTGTGCCTGACATCACTGTCAACCGACTGGCATTTCGGTCCGAAGGGGCCCTTTGAGCATTTAGCACATGTAGGCATTTGCGAGGAAAAGCCATGCAGAGCGTGCGACTTTAATGACTCACTGTGGCGCAAGCAAACAGTGCAGTCCGATGTGGTTCACGATAAACCGCCCTTCAGAGCGCTTTCTCCGGATCAATCCGAATTTGAAATTGCCCGGGGTTCACCTCGCCATGCAGGGCCCCGCGGCCCGGGCGATTCTGCGCCCTCGGGCCTTACACCCCTGAGGCGCGATCTGTCGCACCTGCACATGCCCACTGCGGGCTGAGGGTTTGTATTTGCACCCGGGTTTGGCAAAATATGTTTAAACAATCGGGTTTTTCCTGGAAAGGGAAGCCAGAAAGCATCAGCGCCCAACCTACTTTCACTCCCTGGGAAAGGTTAAAGGAACCCCCTGACAGCCTGAAAGTGCACAACTGGATGGAGGTTGACGACGTTTGTGCCTTCTCAAACAGATCGATTCTCGCAAGATTAAAGATTGAAACTGTGGGCATGCTTTGCTGGTGCCGTAAAGAGAGTCAAACTACTTGTTTTCCGAAACATTGACCTGCGAAAATTGTGAAGGATCAGTGCAATGTGAATGGGCAAAGCAAGGCCCCATCGTGCAAAGGCCAGGGTGCAGGCCCACACACCTTGTATTAATTCAGTTCTGTATTGAACTGTGCTGAGACGCGTTGTGCTTCACCCAGATGCCAACCCGCAGTGGAAAATGCCAGGGGTAGCTTGGACTTCATTACCTTTGTCTCCAGGTTTTTGAAAAGTGGAACTGATGGCATCGCAAGTGCAAATGCTCACGTAGGGGGTTCAGAGCCTCAAGCAAGACTCAGCACCAGAACATATCAACAATCACGTTTCAGGGAATACCCATTCATCGAATATCCACCAGCACAAAAGCAGGGCTTCGCGTTTGAAGGGATCAAGCTTCACGACTACAAGCGTAAATGCCACATTTCTCACAGTTCGGGCGGGGTGGCTACACTCACAAGTTCAATTGTTAGTGTTCACGTCTGTCAGAGCACCTGGTCACTGATATTCACCTCACATCAAGATGTTTAGGGGTATGTTAGGTATGTTGCAAAAGGAAGTTGTTTTTCCTGGCTGATATTGACAGCGTTTGGTTCTCGCAGAAAAGGAAATCACCGCCGTGACACGTGTTTGCTCCAGCAATCCCATGAGCGTTTGTGTAGTCTAGGGGAAGCCCGATGATTAATATGCAAAACCCAACGCAGCAGCTGTGCTGGTACCTGTTTTTGCACCTGCCTTTGAGGCTGTTGCAGATTGCTTACCTGTAGAGCTGGCCACGCCTCCACTGCAGTTTTAACATGGATGTCAAGCGCAGCCGTTGTGTTTGGTTGCCGAGCGCATGGGCGGGTCGCCTCTATGCTTTGAAGCCTTCGAGCGGACTGTCAAAGACTGAATGTACATGTCAACCTCGCATGAATATTTGTTTGGAGGGGTTGGCCTGCCATGAAGGCTTTTGTTTTGTCATGGTCAACCAGCTCAAAATGGTCCCCGGCTTTCATTGAACTTATGCCCTGCGTGTGACAGGCGTTTCGAGGCCACCGGGGGCGATGTGGACGCCTCAGAGACCCGCTACCCCTACGAAACCCCATAGATTCTATTCCCACGAAAGGAAGCCATGAGAAGCCATAGGAACCATAGGAAGCCATGGGAACCATAGGCGGATGTTTGTTGCGTGTTCTTTCTGAGACCCCGTGCGATGCACTGTTTTGGGCACATGCCCATCCAACAAATCATGAAAGGGCGTGTGCCGTTGGCCGGCTCAACCCGAGATGTGCAATCCGAAAAGTCGCAATGGTCAACTCCAACCTGGTCATTCGATCCAGCGCTTGTACACTGCCAGTTGATTTGCGTGTAGTTTGCGGGACGCTGACACTCACATACCCATTGCGTGAGGATCTTGTTTAGGTCCTTTTCCTTGTCTGGGTGGGTCAATGGCAGTGACTCAGGGGCTTTCCAAAGGCTCCGAGCAAAAGCATGGTGCTCGGCTGGGAAATGTAAGGACTCTGATCTTTGACTTGGAGGGGGCATCCAACAATTCGAATCGAATGACCCTTCCGCCTCATGGCTCCGCTTGGCCGCATGGCTCGGCCTTGCGAACCGCCCGAGGCTGGCCCCCTCACGCCCTGATCGAAGGGGCGATTCGGATCACAGGCTGGGCTTGCCAGGAGGCTGAAGGCAACAACAACCTTTGTGCAGGGTCAAGGGGCCGAAGGACAGGCAGGCATATTGAACTGCAGGCTCGCTCCAATTTGGCACCACTGAAAGAGAGACAACATGATGATGTCGCGGACGATTCCTGCCAGCAAGCCCACACAGATTGGTCTGCTTGAGGCAATGACCTCCAAGCATACTATGCTTGCACCAGAGCAGGATGCGCCCAGAAAATTGTGGGCTGCGCTTGAAAGTACCATCCCGAGAAAATGCTATATTGAAGACTTTGTCAGCGTGGGTGCCTTGAGCAGCTCAAACAAATGTTCAGAAGCTGATTCTGGGATGGCTCGATGCTAGGCCAATGATGTGTTTAAGATGTTTAAGACCTGCACAGCGGCTCTAATACAGAGCCAGCACAATGTGCACGCATATGCCGTATGCTGTGCAGGGAAAAGAGGCAGTAACAGCTTGGAGAGAACGCGGCAGCACCGGCACAGGAAACCTTCAGCTCGACATGCCACTGCTGCATTTGTCGAAGCAGAGTCAGCAGAGCACATCAGACAAGATCCGAGATTCCAGTAAGCATGAGTAAAGCCAGCTGGCCAAAGCTCAGCATCCAGTGCCGCAGATTTGGCATTTGGCTGCGCAACTTCCGGCAAGAAACAGTTGATAGCAAACAAATTCAGCGAAGAGGTGCGGAGAGAGGACCCAGAGGCCAATGAGCTTATGCCGGGCCCAGATGGGCACAATGTGGCAGCCTTCGACCTTGAGGCTGGCGAAAGCCCCAACAGTGATGCATGCCAATTCGTGAGCCTGGGTTGTGAAAGGGCTCAGAGAAGAATAAAAATTATACAATTGGAAAGCCAAGTTGTCAATTATGAGTTGGCCTTTTGTATCTCCAAAGATCAAATGAATTTGAGAAATATTTAGAAAATATCGTGAAAAGACAAATTCTTCATGAGAAAGCAATAAAGCACTGATTTCTCTCTTTCATTAATGATCTTCAGAACATATATTGTAGAGTTAAGAATGTTTTAAATGTTTTCTAGCACTGCATTATTTAGTTGAGTTGTGTTTATTATTCAATTTGTGGAACTCGTTTGTTTTGAAAGTCATGACATGAGCTTCATCATATTCATGTTGATTCCTTTTAGCAAGTCTAGATTCGGATATTTTTGCTAATGGTATACTGCCATTTATGATTACAGGATTCAATATCACGCATGTTGAATGAATCAAACGTCATGAGACTCGTGGCCTGCCATCATGTGGTGAAATGGTGACAGATTTTGTGTAAGAGTGACATCCATGGAGCCACCTAGCACGTTAAAATGTCCACATCGGAGAGAAGGACGCTTGAGACGCTCTCTACGCTGAAGACTAGCTCGACAGAGGCGAACATGCATTCTGTCCCGAGGTTGCGGGGCACTTGGCGAAGTGCTGGGGTTGTGGTAGTGGTTTACCCCCTCATGCTGGCCGGATTCGCTGCGACTTTTGCGGCGCTTGGAATGCGGCGGAAGCGAAGTCTCCACCAAGGCTCATTGTGGCCTGGCCGCAGTCGGCCCCGTGAAAGCCCGCAGAAAACAGAGGATGCGTCAAATCAGATTCAAACCTTGCAAGATGTTTGCAAGTGAACAGGTGACCACTCCCATTCACCCAGTGGAAGTGGGGCCGAAGCTTGAGGTTGCCTTCTACGACTTGCTTTCACACCCAACGGGGCGCCGGATATGGAGCTCTGTGATGATTTTGGGTGTCATGGTCACAATTCACGCAATTGTGGCAGCAGGCATCCTGTATATCTACCCCGAGTTTCTCCCAGAGCCAGGGGAGTCCGGGCCCAAGACTTTGGAGGTTGACATGTGACTTGTTTGGGTTGGCAGCTGACCCTTGGAGCCTGTAGAAAAGCACCTGAGAGCTTATCAGGAGATTGGACTTACGGCCCGTCCAGTGGCTTTGGATGCCGGTATGTTAGTTCGCAAGTGTTCACACCAGCCTAGTGTGCTTGTGCTCTAGGTCTTTGGTGAGTTGTTCGGTGCCTGAGGCCTACGTATATCCTCCATTGGTTTGCTTGCGGTTGGCTTTGGGCGAACACCGTCGCGAACTTCGCCGAGGCGGCCTGCTGCGACCCGGGCTTTGTTCAGACCACTGGCCAGGTAGGTCCTGGCACGCTTGAGGGCTACACCTTCTGCCAGGGGTGCCGGCAAGGCAAACCCCCCGGCAGTCACCACTGCCGCATATGCAGAAGATGTGTCTATGGCATGGACCATCACTGCCCCTTCATCGGAAACTGCGTGGGTAGGTCGAACCGACGCCCCTTTGTGCTTTTCCTTTTCTGGGCGTCGCTGTCGCTCGGCTATGTGCTGTCCATCACTTGCATGTATTGCTACGAGCGGTCCACTGATATTGTCATGAATGTGGGCCGGGCAACACGCCAAATGCCGCCCATCAGCCTGAATGTCCTGCCCCTGTATGGCCTCCGGGTGCTCAACCACACCTTTGTTGGCATTCATATGCATGCTGCATCCTGCCTGCATGCACTTCTCAAATTTCTTATGGCATTCAATATCATTCATTATTTTTCAAAAGCACCACAAGTTGCAATGTCAACTTGGTGCAACATGCTGCATTGCAATAGTACCTCCTACGGACCAACAGCATGCGTGTTTGTGCTGTTTCTGGCTTGCGAGAGGCAAAGGGTTTTATGCGAGAGGGCCGATGGGAAACTGGAAGCTGAGGCTGGGTTTCTTCTTCTCTTGGGCAGCGTCACGTTCTTCATGACCAGCTCCTTGCTGCTGCAGCAAGTTCGGCTTATTTGCCGAGGGCAGACTACCATCAGCCAGCTGCAAGGGAACGCAAGAGACCGCAGCCCAGCGAGGATTGAACACGTGTTCCAGAATTATGAGTTGCCATTGCTTTCCCACGGGCCGCATTGTAACGTTGACAACCGACACATTTGCATTTTGCATCAATGGCCACAGAAAAGGTTAATATCAAAATTGCAGACGAGCACCAGCATAATTTGGCAAGTTCGATTGGGGAACGCTTGGAGTCTCATGAATGATTTGCATTCATTTGGTTTTACGTGTTTGCCAGATTTGTTTTTGCAGCCTGCCCAGCCGAGGAGCTTCGCAAGGTTGGAAAGCCAATTGCGAAGAGGTCTTCGGCATTGGGCCGTGGGCGTGGTTTTTGCCCCGAATGCTTAGAGCAAGGGCAAACACGAAGACTGTTTGAGCACGAACGCAGGGCAAGTCAGTGCCGGAGCAACAGCAGACGATCCTTGCTGGGATGATGTGAGAGCCGTTCCAATGAAGAACATGGCAAAGCACAATATGATTCCATAGAAGTTAATTACATTTACATAAATATGTGTCTTGAAAAGTTTGTGGCTGAATTGTGCAATGTAGATAAACTATGCACACAGCGAGTATAGCATTTATACCCAATCAAACGTACATTGTGGAAATGGAATGTCATTCAAACCAATTGTGTGATAGTGATACTCACACATTGGGCCTACAACTTATTCTTACGATGTGTAACGCTTTGATTTGTTTGATTGTCGTGTGTGTAAACAGTTCAGGTTTGGAGTTTGGATTATATAAGTGACTTGGAAGGAGCAGCTATCCTGATGTTCATTATGTTGTTTATTAAACTATAGTTCTCTAGAATCTGATTGGCTGCTATTCGAGTTCAGCGTTAGTTCATAGCAAACCTCGGATTGTGTCATTGGCTATAAGCATGTATTTGAAGAATGTAAGCTAGAATGTAAATAAATTGGCCGATTTTGCCACAGTTCAGCTTTCAGAGCTCCTGGCTTTGTGCGGGACCACGCGAGAGTGCACAAAACGCAAAACCTGCCCCCCCCAGGTGATGAGTTCGACCGTGCTCAAGCGCTCATAGACGAACGCCAGGGCGGGCAACCAAAGATTAGAGTGGCTCATTCGTAATCAGAAACGAAAGCAGCCTTCCCTTGCTTGTTTGGGCTCATTTGGTTTTGGATACTGCAAGTACTTTCATTGGCTGGAGTTTATTGTGACTCAAGTGGGATCCTGGTCTTCCCTACTCCGGGCAAGAGGGTATGTGTCATGCGTGCCTTTTGGATGACGCTGGCAAAAGCAGGGTATAAACTATGATGGCCACATATGGCAATGTAATTCACTCATGTCTATTTGACAACCCCGACAAAACAACAATGTGCAGGTTACATGGCCTCCAGCCAGGCCCCAACACATGCATTTGTACGTTCTATTCCGCAGCAATTTGGGGCCAGCTCACCTTTGCTTGACGCACAAGGTTGGGCACAGTGTCCATGGCGCAGACAAAGACATGGCAGCGTGTGGGCCTTTTGCTGGGCATTCTAACTTCGCTATTGTTCTTCACTGGCCTAGCGGCTTGCCGGCAACGGCTCGCCTAATTCTTTCTACATGCTTCAGCTGCAGCAGGTGCGTCCACATGTTGACGGATTCTTGAACGTGTAAGCTCACCTCCCCGCGTTTTGCTGGCCATGAGGTTCCAACAGTAAAGTTTGAAGATCCCCTCAATTTGTTGGTTTCTGCCGGGTAGTGTGCCTTGCTTTTGGCTTGCTTCCTGGTACAGGTGTGCTGGGGCTGCCAAAATTTTGTCATTTGCCAACTGCTTCAGGATTGCTTTGACGTAGGTAAAGGTTGTTGTGTTTCCTTGCTTGCCCAGAAGCCATTAGACAACAGGTTGGATACCACGAGCGGTAATTTTAATGGGTTCCGCTTTTTCAAGCACAAATTCATGTTCCGCTCTTCAGTTCGTGCATCCACAGAAGGAATCGACCCCCATGCTCCGCCGGCGGAGCTACTGAGGGCATGTTTTTGGGGAGCGTCCCTGGCGCAACCTCTATGCCGTGCACCATCACGCAGAAGAACCTCACCACCGAGACCTGCTGTGACTATGAGGTGCCTTGCGTGGAACAGCCTTGCCCTCACAAACTCTGCCGCTTAGTCTGCATGGATCCGCAAAAGCACCTGCAGGGGAGAGCGCAAGGGGCTTCCCTTTAGCTCAGTGGGCAGGCTGCAAGCAGTTGGATTGGTGGTTAATGATTTTCGCGCGGTGTCTCACTTGTGTGTTGGTGCGAGTGATGTCCAAGTCGCCACACCCTGTATACCCTGCTTCATTGAAGGTCATAGCGAGGGAAACATCCACTGGCCTGGTGGCCTTCGCTTTGTTGCAATCAGACCTGTTTTAGCATGTTGGGGCGTAGGAGGGTTCTTTCTGGCTTTTTTTGGCATACTCCAGCTCAATTACATACCACATGTTGATGTGTGAGCTGATTGCTGCTTTCATTGGATCCCAAATGTGAGGCGGTTTGCGACTCGAGTCAAGCTCAACCCTAGTGACAGAAGCCCCCAGACGTTGCTCCACTTGTTCCGGCCCATGTCAGGCAGCTAGCGCCCGTTTTTTCAAGCGCAGCTCGTTCGTTGGCTTTCCGGAAGACAACGGGGCTGGGTCTAGTGTGGGTTTAGGGTCTTGGGTCAAAAAAGAATCGGTCTAGGATCTTGGGTCTGGGGTGTTTGGTGGAGGGCATATTGCAGAGCCTTTGCAGATGAGTGCGATTCGGGAAATCAAGGCTATCCAAGCCTCGGCTTCGAAGAGGATGGTCCCTGCAGCTGCCCTGCAACCTCCACATGGGTGCCCTGCTGCCTGGCCTTTCCGACATGCGACCATCGCAATTTAGTGGGTGTTTTTTCCTTGAACATCCCTTCTTGCAATTTGGGTTGCCCGCCAATCTGCAAACCAGAGAAAGATGTCCTTCTTCCACCAGAGTCACTGGGCAACTTGGTAGTTGAACCATGTAGATAGATAGGGGCATGTGGAACACAGCCTTCAAGCTGTGCGCAAAGGCTGCCACTTTAAAACTGGCCAGTTTTTGACACAGCCCGCGCAAGGAGTTGTTGGGTCTTAAGGATATCTACTGCCTGCAAATCAGGAAACTTGCAAAGCTTGTGGCTGTGTACACCCTTGCGCAGTTCCGTCTCGGCAGATGTCGGCGTAGGCTAGGGGAATGATGGTGAAAGTCAAGTTGCTCGGTCACTTGGCCTTGTTTGCTTTGAGAAGCCTGCGCACTCAACATCAGCATGCAAAAGAGCGTGCCGGTTCCGAAATCAGAAAGCCGGAAGTACCAAGCTCAAATTAACAAGGAGGTGTCTACTAATAAATGGGATTAGTGCAGGTTAGGGGGGAGGGGATCTCCATGTTAATCTGTAGTTAACATCAGGCAATTCACTAAGGCTTATAAGGGGAGTCTCAGGCTATATTTGCGACCTCCGAACCTCCTTCGAGCAGAACATCACCGTTTCAGATCGAACATTCCACGCCGGCTGGGTGGTTGAGGCCAGGAATGTAGGTTCGATGTGCTTCGCGCCAATGATTTGCTGCACTCGAGGCTAACGCAGCAGCTGCCTCAGAAAGGGCCTCATAAATGGGTGGTTGTTTACATTGCATGTGAGTTTTGGATGGAGGTCGTGTGTTCATTAAAAAAAAAACGGCCTTGCGTAACATATATGCACATACATTCTTGCATTGTGCCTATACCTGAGCCGCGTTTGAGACTATATCTGAGCCTCATCAAACCTACGCATATATATATATATACATAGATATACCTAGACCTTCGTTGCGGCAGAAATTTTTGCCGCAAATCAAAAAAGGTGCCTTTTTGGATTTGCAGCATTTCTTCTTGATTTGCGGCGTGTTTTTTTTGTTTTGCGGCGGAACTTGTTTTCATTTTTTTCCACCCCCCGATTTGAGGCGGAAATCGGCGGGAATGCGGCGGAAATCGGCGGGAATGCGGCGGAATGTCTCGGAAAGCAATCGGTGTTGCGGCTTCTTTGTTTTGGTTGCGGTGTTTTCTTTTGTTTGCGGCTGATTTTCTGGAATGCGGCGAGAATTTCCGCCGCAATGCGTTGCGGCAGAAATTTCCGACGCAGGAAGTTCTAGGTATAGCTTTTTGGCAAAACATCGGTGCAGGCCAGATATCATATCCCGTCGCCAGCGCATACCTTCCAAAAGCTAAGAAATAGAACATGACAAATCATTGGGTTTTGCTTGCGCCGAATGGGAGCTCCACAATCGTATATATTGGTTGAGAAATGTAAACTGGGCGGATGTTTGTTCTCCTTGGTCGTTTGCTTCCTACGCCTATATCAATGGTGCTCTCGTAGCGGCTTGCTTTTCAATGCACATATGTGTATGAGAAGCCCATAGCAGCGAACCAAGGGGAGAGGGAGAGAGAGAGAGAGAGAGAGAGAGAGAGAGAGACCGCACGTGGCGCTGTTTGGCAGATACGTCTCGTGTTTCTGTGGCTCCCACTTCGTTGACCTCCAAACGGCCAGCCGATGGTCACACTTGTTCTATAGTGGGCCTTTGCGATTTGCTCTTCGTCGAATTTCCAGGGAAGTTTAGCCTTTGCTTGACCTGGGTGACTTAGAAGCTGATAGCTGTTCACGTGAGTTGTTTGCGGATGGTGGCCCTGTGAGCAGCAATGCAGGGTCAACAAGCATGTCTTTGCAGAGGCCACGGGCAGGCAGAGCTCAACAAGTAACATTGTGGTCTGCAAGTCGGCCTTTCTCGTGCGTTGCAAGCCGCCAAGTAGATCTTACAACAGTTGGCACGTTGTTGTTTTGTTGAAGCATGTTGAAGTAGTAGATGGGCAGGGTTGGTGCCGGGGCGCAATTTATTTGAGACTCACGGGACATTAAGAACATTTATTTCTTCTGTATCATTCATTGGTCTTCTCTATATCATTTATGCATTCTCCTCCTCATCTTACATTGGTTGTGTTTGGAGAGGTTGGGGAATAGTCTTAAACTCTCAAATAAAGACAAGTAAAAATAGAAAATGAAAGATAGAAAAGCTATTCCGCGGAAAGGCATTAGAAATACAATGGTGGGAAGATGAAGATAGAAAAAGGACAGATATTGATGTGTGAGAGGTGAAACAACAAAATTGAGCTTACATGTTTTATTACTTTCCACATGCCTTTGTTCTAATATTATTTGTGGGCTCTTTACGCTAATTTTGTTAAAAGGAGGCCTTGGTGCGACCGACGGTGTCCTGAAGCGCCAGGTTGCGAGACACATGGCGACGGCCAAGGCTCCGGCTTGCCCGTCTATGCTTGTGACTGTTTTGGCTTGGTTTATGGTTCGAATTGTGCTTCTGGTTGGCACAAGATGTTGGCTGCAGAGAAGCAAAGCAATCCCTTGGGTTGTGCCCCAAGAGCAGGAATCGCACAATCTGAACATGAGGTGAAGTCTGGCAGCTTTGAAGCAATGACATGCTAGGGCCTATCGCCAAAGGTTTCAAGGGCTTGGTCAATGTGCCTCGGCATTGTCTCAAAAAAACTTTGAGGGAGCTGTCGTGCAGGAGCACAGTTCAAACCCCAGCTTGCCAGGACATATGTGACAACGCGCCCGGTGTCACGGGCACAGGCATCACATGCTACAGCGAAGGGGCGCGTGAGTGGGAGTCCAACCTCAGGGTGCGCTTTAGTCCTTTGAGCCTTGGCACGGTGTTCGCCTGTAGGCTTCGCGTGGCGGTGTTTTTCTCGATTTGACCAGGCAAGACCATTCATAGATTGTGGCAATGTCAAGCACACTGCTGACGTTTGGGCAACGGCCTGCGGGGGGAAGGGGGCCCTCCACCCTAATGTCGGCCAGATTTTGAGCATGTCATGCTGTCCTGCCCTTGCGCAGGCCGCAATTCGAGCATGCCACGCAATTTTGCCTTAATGCTGGCCAAGTGTCGAGGATGCCACGCTGTCGCGCGCTAGACTTTTGCTGGCCTGCTTAGAAGCCTCTTTGGCCACCACCGTTCTCCAGAAACATGCGCGTACCCAATGCTCCCTTCGCAACTGCCCCCCTTGCTACGAACGCGTTTCTTCCCGCGAACCTCGTTTCTTCCCGCGCACGCGTTTCTTGCCGCGAACAGGTTTCTTTCCGCGAACGCGTTTCTTACCGCGAACACGTTTCGCGTTTCTTAGCTTGGGGGCCGGGGTGGCCTGATTGTTTTTCTGCAAAAAACGAAATGGAAACTTAGCTTGGGCTAAGAAACCGGATGGCCACAGCTCGGTGCTTTTGCGTACTTCTTGGGATCGCGTTTCTTCAGTTTGGACAATTGCCCCGTTGGCGTTTGTGTGTTTTTGCTTTTTCTGTCAAGGCCTGTACGCTAAGCAAGAAACATGGTTCCGTGCCGAGGGAACCCGGCGCTACCACCGCCGCGAACGCGTTTCTTACGATTGCGTTTCTTCTTACAGCGAACGCGTTTCCTCCGGCGAACACGCTTCCTCCTGCAGGCGCAATTCTTCCTGCGAACGCGATTCTCTCAACGAGCGCGCTTCTTGCCACGAACACGTGTCCCTCTGCAAACTACGTATTCTTGCCGCGAACACGTTTCGTCCTGCGCACCTGATTCTTGCCGCGAACTCGTTTCTTCCTGCGACCGTGTGTCTTCCCGCGACCGCGCTTCTTCCCACGAACGCATTTCTTCCTGGGAGCGCGTTTCTCCCCCCTATCGAGTTTCTGCGAAGAGATCTTACTTTTGAAGCTCAAGTGGTGCGCATATCATGGCCAAAATATGTCGCATCACCTGCTGCCTTGTGCCAACCAAGCCCACTTTGCTGGAGGTGCCGCAAATCGGGGCTGTGGCGCCGCAAAGCACGGTGAACCTTTTTGTTCCGTTGGTGAGACGAAAAGTGCCTGCGTTTTGAGAGTTTTGCGGTTTTCGCCAAACAGATGGAAACTTGATTCGCTAAATGATTCGTGTGGGACGCCCGATTTTGTGGCACAGGTCCCGGGTGGCTCTAGAACATGTCCAGCTTAAACCTGTGTCAGCTGAAACCCGCGGAAAGATGTGGGACTCATAAATGGCAGTGAAACACCGGTTTCAAATCATTCCAAGCGCCTCCCTTTGATCTCTCCCGCGCGCGAAAAGCATCAGCTGCGTGAAGCACAAGGGCAAGGCACTAGAGCCCCAGAACTTGGGGCTGGGGCTGGACACTTCGCGTGATAAGCTGGGGCTATAACATGAGCTGGGAAGATCCCATGATGCAAGGAGGGATTTGACCACTTCCCTGCACTCACGCCCAACTTTGAAAAGAGACAGCAAGGTTGTATGGACACACGCGCGCCATGATATGCACCCCATCACTTTAACGCTAGTGGAAGCAGATGCGCCTCCTGTGCTTCAATGGTTTCAGCATTCCAGCGTTGTCAAGCTTAACGTCGCTTTAAGTCGTACCGATTGGTAGGAAGTCGTGGCGAATTCATGTTCCGGAGCGGGTTTTCGTGTGGCTTCCCTCTCGGCACGTACACGTAGCTCAGCGCTGTGCCCTGATAACGCGAATCAAGAAGCGGCGGCACATTAAGCTCGAAGCTGCACTTGAGAAGGAGAACAAGATTGCGCCCAATCCTTTGGCCAAGAGATTGGGCAGCACGTGATTCACACGAACACTTTGATTCGACAAAGGCTGAGGCGCACGAAGAAACTCAAGAAGGCTTTGGGGCAAGTCTATGACAGGAGGTCGTTTGGCGTGCCCCTTGCCTCCCTGGCCACAGGCCTACCTTGCTTGTTACGGCTCATTTGGCAGGCGTGTGGTCCTTGCAAAATGGTTGTCGCGCAATCTGGGTTACTCTCCAGGAAAAGCTAAGACAAACATCAATGCTTTCTGCATTGGTGTGGGCATTAGAATGCGCAGACGTAGTGACTTTGCGTTAAGGTGACCTTCCCACGCAAGGGTTCCGACTTTAAGCGCGGAAGTAGTGACTTAAACACACACGACAATAGCCATTGCTGTGTCATTGGAGTTTCTGTTTTCCTGGAAGGTGTTTTAGCAAGCAGCCGCTTGCTGCCCAAACGCACGTGAGTGATTTGGACCAAAAACAGCACCAGCTCATCTTGCCAGCGCTGCGCTATAGGATTCAGCAAAATGATGTGACTTGACAGTTGGTGTGACTTCCTTGTTCTGAGCTGTGGGAGATGTGACTTCCCCCCGTTAGATGTGGATACAGAAGGATTCATGCAACTCATCACCACATGACGCCGTTTCAAAAGTCTTTAGACCGTTGCGGTGCTTCAGCCCGCTTGGTTGAAACCAGCAACTTTGATGTTCGATTGCTGGTGGCGGCCGGACGAGCTGTATCGCAACTTGATCCCATTCAACAATGCGGACACAAGACTTGCATTGCTTGGGTTTGCCAGCCAGCATGTTTAAAAACAAGGTTGTCCGATGTATCACGAATTGGGGCAGATATGGGCCAGCAACGCTGAGGAGTGCCATGGGTATCGCGGGTGCGGCTCTCTTGGGCGTGGGTTTCCTTTGCACGTCCTTGTGCTGCTTGCCATTTTGGTGGACGCGTTGCAAGTCAGAGACTGTGCAACGCGCGCCTCTGCCGTAGCTGACCACTGTCTACCTGTGTTTGTGTTCAGCGCGCAGGTGGCACAGCTGTGATTTGGTTGGTGCGCTGCCGGGAAGTGTTCCATGCGCGCAGGAAGATTGCGTGAAGCTTGAAATTGCTTCGCGAATTTTAAAGAAAAGCCCCTGGCTCAGTGGAAACAAGTAAAAACTAGGCGAATTACGAGGTCGGCAAACGCCTTTCTCTGCCAATCTCTTGGAAAACCGAACATCTAAATGAGCATAGCACCAACCTTTGGGTCTGGAGCGTCCTTGCGCAATTTAGGACAGGAAGCCAGATTCCACTGGAAGTCCAACCGCTATTTGATGCGTTTTGTTTCTTCCACTGATTTTGTCGATGTGCGTGGACAAGTCCAAGGGCCCATTCAAGAACAACGTCATATGCACATGTTTTCCCTGAGAAAAGGGGCTTGAGCGCACGGTGCAGCAGAGTGGCCATTTGCGCCGTCTCGAGCCTGGGGAGGTGAATTTGGAAAGCAATGGAGATTCTTCTGTCAGCTTGAGAATGCTGCTTGGTTTAAAGTTTCAACAGCTGCAAATGCAAGCTCTCATGCGTGGCCTTGATAAATCAAGCTAGAAATCAAAAACATCTCAAATTATATTCTTTGCGCACATGTGCACCATTTTGTTGATTGTGCTGTGACAAATATGTGTCTTTATTGTGAAACCGACATTGTTTGTTATATCATTATGCAATTTGATTATAGAAAAAAATGAATGAACTCTTGTATATTTTTTGGGAGATATAAGGAGATTTGCAACACAAAAAAAAATATAATTTGAATTTGATATTTTCGAAATATTATAGTTGGTTTATTTTAATATAAAATATAAATGGAATAATTGAATAATATGTGTAATTGAAAATTATGAAATTAGATAAATTATATGATTTTAGGAATGAATGATTTATTGGTTAACAAAGATTATAAACATATTTAAAGAATGGAATTTATTGAATGTGAATTTGGATATTAAAACAAATAATGTTGAAATAAAAATGATATAATGAATAATTATTGTTTAGATAAGAATAATATTTTTATATAAATTATATTTTTTTAATTTGTGTTTTTTTAGAAAATTTATTGATTATACAATTATGAAAAGAATTAGGTTAAACATTTAAAAAAATATGTTTTAAACATTAGCATATTATAATTAAAAATAATTATATAGGTTATATTGTATTTTTATTATACAATGCAAAATAATTACACTAAAATATATAATTTATATTCTAATAATTTATAATTATTACATGAATATATTAATATGTTATTTTCCTTATATATATATTTTAAACTTCTAATTAATTTTAATAAATTAAATAAAATAATATATATATTTTTTATATTTAAATATCCTTAAATTATATATAAAAATACAAAAACATATTTAAATGAACAATAATTTATAATATTCATTGCTATTTATAAAATTTATAAAAATCAATATATACTATATTATTCTCCTATAAATCGGTACGGCCTCAAGATCGTATTCCGGCCGAATTATGGTGCTTACGGCGAGCGGGTATTATTGTGCCGGTTTATTCTCTTCGGCATAAACTCCCGCCTCTTCGTACGGCCCGGAAGGCCCCCCAAATTATATTGAAATTTCGGGGGATGCTTAATAAATTTCTTTAGAGATCCGGTGGCATAATCCGACTAAATTTTCTCAAATTTCAAATTACCGTTTCGCAAAAATTTCGTACCTCTCTCTATTTCTCCTAATCTGTTTCTACATATTCATATCTATCTATTTTGTTATCTATCTTTATCTGTCTACCTTTGTGCATCTCTATGTATCCCAATCTAATTATTTTTCATATTTATATGTTTTTATCTCCATCTATACATCTGAGAGAATAAAAGAGAGAGAGAGAGAGAGGCCCATGGCCGGAGGAGTTGCTGCTGGCGGAGATGCCCAAGGTGGAGACAATGATTTCCCAAACATTCCTCCGGCCCACAATGCCCGGACCTGGGCAAGTTGTCCCTTATCCTGTGGGCGATAAAACAGCACCAGGAAAAGAAAGAAAAAAAGAGAAAGAAAGAGAGAAAAACACGGACACACGGAAATAGACAGTTGTATCAGGTGTCTTCATATTTTGTGAAGGCTCGTGAAATTCAGCCTTTGCTTGGGCCACCTTAGTGCGTCAGTATATCTATAAGCATCGGGGTTAGTCATCAAAAATTGCAAGAGTTCTAGTGCAGACATGCGGCCATCGAGATTTCATTTTGCACAAACTGTCACAGCATCATTTGGCGTCCATTGATGCGCGGCCGGTCCTAAGCTGAGTTTCAGCCACATGCCGTCATGTCATTCTTAGGTTTCAATGCCTCGCCGCTTACACAACCTCCAAGCTCCGGAGACTTCTCTCCACCAATCTCTTGAGGTATTTCGGTTATATGGGTAGAGAAACACAAAAAACATAAAGAAATAGAGACGAACGATAGATTCGAATACATAGAGATTAATAATAAAGACAAAATGAGCCGAGAGATAGAGAGACACTCTATTTCTCTTCTTGCGTCCATTATTAATTTACTAATTCTTTAAAATAATATTATATAAAATAAAAATAATAAATAATAATTAAAAAAGGAAAAAAAGAGACTCAAACAAAGCAAGAAAAAAAAAGAGAACCGAGAACAAAAAAGAGATAAAGAGAAAGAAAAAAATTAAAGGAAAAAAAGGAAAGAGAAAGAAACAATAAGAAAAATAAAGAGAAATATCGAGAATCAAAATAGAGAAAAAAAAGAAAAAAAGAGAAAGAGAAAAAGAGAGAAAAGAAATAGAAAAAGAGAAAAAGAGAAAGAAAAAGAGAGAAAGAGAGAGAAAAAAGAAAGACCGGGCTGGTCGCGATAAAGTCACGCCAAAGAGCAACGTGAGAACGGATCCGCGAGCTGTTGGCCTCAAAAGATTCATCCACATATGTAATTGTTACAAGTACAAACGAAAACGCGATCGACAAAAAAACATCTTAGGTACAAACAAAGCCGAACTAATTTCGCCCAAAGCATTAGAAAAAACACCATTAGTCGCAAGAATCGGCCACGGCTCACAATTTCTCGCATCGCCAAACTCGGAAGATACACCAAGATTTCAGCCAAAATTGCTACGGACAGGCAGATATTTGCCCCGACTCTTTATTTGGAAGCCACAACGTCTTCGTTTAAAGCCCGGACCATTTTTCCAAAATATCCCGGATATTTCGATATTTATATTCCAAACTATTTTTTTCCGAAAGATTCCGGATATTTCGACGACAACATTTCCCGATATTTTCCCGAAATATTTAGAATATTTCTAGAATATTCCGGGAAATTAGCCCCTATAAAAAATTACACCAATCTCGATCCTAAACAGCAAAAGAATATGACAGGTCTGCGTAACCCAAAAAAGCTTGTCTCCTTCATGTAAGGTGCGAAATTGAGTCTCTCAGCAATACATAATTACAATCAATTTATGTATGTCCCTATAGGAAATCCCCTTTTTTGGGAAAAAGACATATCGGGTCCATCCATCTCCTTCATGTCGGGTAAAAGCATCGATATTATATTAAGGAAAGCGCCATGTCAATGCCATATTCGAGAGTGAAGGCCCCAGGGATTCGGAGTGAATCAACCTAACACCTGGCATTAATGAAAGGAAATTTCGATCAAACTTCCGTAATACGGACATTTAATACAGTTTTCCATCACCACAGAATTTAGTGGCCATCTCGCTACTCTCTTGCGCATCAGTCTCAGCAGCTTGTGGCCGAGACTGGGCACATGCCACTTCGGGTTGCTATCTTCTTCTCGAGCTCGGCTAGAACTCTTGCCACAAGCAAAGCAAGAGAGAACTTGCAAAAACTTACAGACTACGGCGTTAGCAATTCTTATTTAATTATACAGCCACCGAACATGTGTCGAAACATGGCCATGACCGTATGTTACAATTACCGTATTAAGCACCAGAGCCGCTATTCCGTAATGTTGCTGGGGAGTCCGCCACGCACGCAGAGTGTCCAGCAGCGCCGAAACCTTTATGTTCAAGGCGTAGTGGAGGCGAAGCTATATCGTCAAAGAAGAAATGGATTGGCCATGTCTCAGCACGTGTTACTTCGGTAAGCGATGGTCTTAATGCTATTAGCACATCCCTCCAGCTTGGTTTCCCGACAAGCCACGTATGCTAAGAGAATAAATGCAATTACTCGGATTTCCAAAAATATTCATTATGGGAGGCTAGCACAAGCGCCATGCAATACAGCTCACGTTGAACCCCCTTTGGTGTTCCATGGGTCCAGAGACTGTAGGGAAGCTAGCGCCTTAGAGAATAATAATGGCAGTCTCATCATAAAAACCCTTAAGCCCTTGCACTTGCAAGCCCTAAGCACTTTCGGACACGTGCAAAACAGCAGAATATATGGAAAATAAGGCTAACAAATCTGTCTTCAACCCTTCTATCAGGAAGCAACGAGGTACGTTAAAGCCGCGACCTTGGCACCACGAAGGTGTGAAATGCTTCAGCAAAATGCGTTTGTCAGTAGGATTGGATTACATAGGTTACGAAGAGGAAAAAACGTCGCAGACCAGCTAGTCAAGCGAAAGATTAGATATCCAATTAAGAAGGTGCTAAATGCTGGCAATAAGATACGAGACGAGGTTTAAAACAGCACTACCAATAAGAAAGGATGCTCAAACTACAATAATGCTACCAAGAGCAAATTAGAAGATGGGTGGGCCCGAAAGCATGAGCAATGCACGGCGCCAAATAATCTTAGCATTGCGCAAATTCCTCTAAGCAAGCAAGTTTTCCAAGCAAGTTCTTAGCACAAATTACTTAAGCAAGTTCTCAGAGCAAGTTTCTCTGAACAAGTTTCAATAAGTAAGTTATTTGAGCAATTCTCTACGCGCAGCGTTTGCCGCAACACACTACGACTTCCTAGTGCAACTCATTACTACCACTTACTAGTGCCACTTGCTGGCGCTACTTGCTAGCGCCACTGGCTAGCGCTACTGGCTCGTGCATCTCGCTAGCGCTATCTTACTCGTGCTACTGGCTTGCGCCGTTTTGCTAGTAACATTTTGCTAGCGCCTAGTGCCACTTACTAACGCAACTTGCTTGCGCAACTTGCTGGTGTCATGCTGGAGGT